AGCAGGTATATGGGGGGGTGTGAATGTAAAATAATTTTTATTTGACTCAATAACTGTTTAAGTGTGTGTATGAGTTGCAGTGAGAATACAGATCTTTAATGGGACATATGCTTTTTCACAGTATTTCAATTTTTTTTCGAGAAGCGCTGCTGCCTACAAGCTTTTAACTTGATTATTCATATTTTCGAGTTTTTAACTTTTTTTCGAATAAATGTGCTTTAAATTTATTCGAAAATTTCAGGATAAAATATTTTTCCTCTTTTTTAATTATTGGCGACAAAAATCTTTATTTCTGCAACGCGCTTATTTGCTGATGTCGGAAATTGCATTATTTCGAAAGTGTTTTACAGCCATCAATCTCTTCTTTCTTTCAAAGTTTCTTCAGAATTTTTAAGCATGAACATTGAGGATAATGCGATCCGATACATCTTTTTGTGCTTCCTATTTCACCAATATCTACATAATAGTTTAGTGCTGTAAGTCAACTTGACAGAAACTCGTTACCGAACGCGTTTGCGTGCGAGAGTAGAGCGTAAATAATATTCTCTGTCAAACCGAAGTATTTTGCTGTTATTTGTTTGAACTGTCAAACTGTCAGCTGTTAGGAAGTACGGGTTTAGTGTTGCTCTCTCATGCTGAGCGACTTTTCTAGTTTTTACTTTGGCCATTCTAAAACATTCGATCAGAAAAGTTCCAAAAAAAACATGAATATTTCTTTAAAAACAGTTTTTCTTTTCTCGCTTAAAAAAATTGCAACTGCTTTTAAAGAATACTGTAAGGTTATAAGGTTATCAACGCATTCTCAAGCATTCGATGACACTTATTCTGTGACACTAGGTCAAGTGAATGCACCTACATATGAATAGCGGTATATACACATATGAGCGCGTATTTACGCAATTGACACAAACCCCAACAGAATTTTATAGCGCAGCATCTCAAGAACCTTTACATAGATTTTTCTATTATACTTAAGCATATATGCCAACAAATGTATGTATGTAAGTGAGGGTGATTCTATAAATAAGTGAAAGCTGCTTAAATGAAGTGTCGCGCAGCATAACTAAGCAAGCACTTGAATATTATCATTCACTTTGGAGATAATGGATTTCAATTTCTATGCTTTTCGCTCGACGTGGCGCTACCACGTGCTTCAGCAGTGTATTGCCTCACAATTTTTGGGCGATTTAAGTGCACGCGCACCAAATAGCAGCGCGTCTGCAGTAGCAACTTGCACCATGCCGATATAGTGAATTACCCAAGCAGCGCGTTGCGGCAGCGGACCCGGCGACCGTAAGTCGATATGCATTTAAAGCACGTACAAAGTCATTTCTGCCTATGCTCGCATGCGTCTAATTGCATTAAAAGAAATATAATAATTTTGTTTTTGTTTTGTCGGTTTCTTTACCTTTATGCAATGCTTGTTATACCTGCAACTTTGCTGCTGATATGCGCTTTGGATTACCGTTGTTTTTTGCGTTATTTTTGTTGTTATTTTTGCTGCAGTTGCCTGTGGTTTCGTTCGCTTCAATAAACAAATTGCAACGTTGCATATTTAAATGCACATTTTTTCACTTCGCCTCTCACTGCTCTCTGCACTTATTAAACTCAAAGTTTTTCTTCAAATATCAATAAATTTTTAATTTCACTATTTTCTGGCAAAGATTCCAGTCAATTTCAAATTTGTGGTGGAAATTTCGTTCACTTCTATTTTCACTTGCGACGCCGTGCTGGCACATTGCGTTCGCGTCACATCGTCGACAACGAATGAATTTTTCATATTGCTCGTCGACATACTTATGTACCTGTGTGCTGTGTGAGGGCGAGAGTGTGGTAGGTGGAAAAATGCTTTTTGGGGTTGGAGTTGCTCTATCACTGCTTGGTAGTCGCCGCTTAGTCTGCAGAATCTTCGTTAAGTATTTCAATTGTGGATTTCCCTGCTGTTAATGCAGCCGAAGCTGTCTGGCAGTGTTACCAGATTTGTTGAGAAGTGTTTTTACAAATAAAAATTGAATAAAGACATTGTTTCCTCAGTATCTATAGACAAGGTATATAAATGGGGTTACTAAAAATCATTCAAACACAATAATTACAGTTTGCATGAATCCAGACTAAGTAGGTCCGTATCCTGCACTATTTTTCAAATAAAAAAAAATTTGCAGATAATTAAATTATAGTAAACGTAAGCTCATAGAAACAGTTATAATTGCATATTCCATGCGCTTTCAATTAATTATATTAATAAATATGTATTACGAACTAATTTAGAAAATTACTACTACATATTACCGTAACATTCACTCTCCATGTTTCGAAAATTTTCAGCATGTGGTAACTCTGTATGTCAAGCAAGCAATGTCTTGAGACAAGTGCAGGAGAGCGCTCGTGTTATAAGGGTTGAACACCGTTATTCGTTTTCTCAAGTTACAAATGCTGCCTAAAATCAGAAACCATGATACCACAATAAACTCTAAGATTTTATTATAATTATAGCACAATTTATATTATTGCCTAACTTTTGCTATACAATTTAATTGTTCAAACTTTTGTGACGTGCGTTTTCAAACACGACTTGATAACCATGCGAGTTTGGCGATGTGTGTTCGCTATGATTTTGCGCTTTCGTAAGTTTGCTCTTCGATGTAAATACTTCTCTTCAACAAGTCTCAGCATCCTGTTTTATCTATATTTGGTAGATGTGAGCATATTTAACTCTCTTTGTGCTCATATCTTTGACCTACAAAAATCTAGCTCATTGTTGGTCTCGAACTAGCTTGTTTATCTAAATAAATATTTTGTTGTTGCTGTGTCCAATTGTTCGTGGTCCTACCCTAATTTTCTTTGTGGTATCTATGATTCTATTTATTCACATACATACATACACACAAGTCCAAATATATGCTAATTGAACATAAATGTTTCTGTGTGTGTGTGTGTGTACGCCGTCAGTTTGTATGCGTATCTGTAGCGTCGGATACTGAATGCGTTTAGAAATCAGGCGACCTTTGTACCTAGCATTTTGTTGTTGCTGATAAAATGCGTGAAATTCGTTGGGCAAATAAACACAGATTTTGGTTAAAATTTACAAGGGTGACTGTACTCTTGTAGGCAATTCTTTAAAATAATTTTTCATGAGGCGCTCAACAGATTTTGATAAATAATGAAGTGATAAGGGCAACGTGACAAAGCGTATGTCTCTTGAAATTCTTTTGTCGACTATTTATTAGTTCACCCTATTAATGTGTCTAGCTACAGATCAATTACTTTGGTTTTGTAGTGGTTACTTGTAGTCAGATATCTTTTTGCACTAATGCATTTATTTCAATTTCTTATCGACCTTTTAATGATCCCAATCAGTGCTTTATCAATATTTGGCCGAGTTTATATTACTAGCTCAAAGCAGATACATAATCTCCAGCTATGATATCGCGAAGTTGCCTTATCACTGCAGATAAGTTAATTTAATTAGACGTAAAGAAAGTCAACGAAACCACAAAAAAGCTTTTAAGACATTTTTAGCGCCAGAAGGCTAAATTTACTTAATGTATAACACCTTTTTTAGGAAGGAAATAGTTTTTTTTTTCAAATATTAATTTCACTGCACTCTTTAACCGGTAGTTGCCAGGATTCCTCCTTTATAATTTTCATCAAATTTCGTGCATAGCCTTTTTAGGTAAGAAAAAACAAAATCTAAAGCCTAAGATAATTGAGCCTTTATTTTTGCGTTTTGTAAGAAATCATTAATTTTGTAGACATGATTTAACGCAGTAAAAATTCAGGTTTTTTGATACGAGTGTACCTTCAATGCTTTGCATACCCAGATCATTAACAAAAATGTACTAAGCCGAAACGTATTAAACGATGAGAGCAAATAAAAATTCTCTTAATGCTAATATTATGATTTAAAAGTATACTCGTTATTTCTGTTTTTTCGTACGCGAAGATTCTCGCAAATCTTCCTGAATGCTTTTAGAAATCAAGCGAACCGCCATGTTTAGTGCTTACGAATTGCAAAGAAAGTTGTTAAGAAGTTGGAAAATAAACTCATCAATAAATGGATCGACTGGATCGGAAAATATTTTTAAGAGTTAGACGTCAACTTCAAAATCAGTATTGTCAACTCACTTCGAAATTATTTAATCAATAACAGCTGGATATTGCTAACCGAAACCTTATATTACTTTACCGGGGATTTGAGTCAAAAGACCTAACCTTAACTTCTTTATCTTTCAACACCAATAATGGAGTGTTGCGAAGAATAATTAGAGCAAGTTTGGCATCTCTGATTTCTTACACATTAAAAATAAGGAAGGCGCAGTCGCAGTACACAAACCACAGCTAAGAACCGAGTATGAATCAAATAATCGAATCTGTCAATTTTGACAGTTTTTAGTGTTTATAATAAAAAAACAATTTTAAAATATTAAATAAATACTCACTAATTAACTAAACGAAATATATTTATAAAAGTTTGCTATGTTAACAGAAATGAGAGAATTCACTTTCGCTTTTATGTTATTACCGGCAGAGAGTAATTGTGATTTTAAAAATAGAACTTAATTGTTTTTTGTACTCAGTAGCTTGCAGCATCCCACATATAATATTCCTTGTAAGACGCTCTCAAATTCTACATCTAACCACTCGAATTGCAATCTCTGCTTGTGCTCTCTTAATCAATGATATGCATTTGAATGTAAAGCAAACAGCGAAAGCAAAGAGAGTATATAAAATAAGCAGTCAAGAAAGAATAAGGCCGTAACTCTTGTCTATTTCGTTAGATTTTATGGCTTATGCTTTCTTTCTTAATCCAAAATATGCTTCCGATTTGTGAAATAACTTTGTTACCAACAGCTGATTAGCAACGCGCTAATGCACGCGGCTGCAATCGTCACACACTCACACACATGTACGTGCAAGTAAATATTACGGGGTGACTAGTGGCTATAATGACATGACTTAAAAAGGGATGGTATTTGCAGCGTGTTTTCTATGAGACGCACCTTGGCAAGGTTTTTCCGGGCGCCTACTCGGTGTGGTTGTTAAAGCAAACAAAGGGGGCCCGCAGGTCTGTTGCAACTGTTGTTTATTATTTTGTGGTTACACATATCTGTTGTGGCTTGCGTGCTGCTAGTATTTAGTCGCTATTTTTCACCTAGCCACCCTTATTGCATCAAAGGGAGAAGCAAAACAAATTATATAGAAGGTTTTGTAAGTTAACTACTGCACGGAAAATTTACTTTTTTATATGCCTTCGTTTTACGCGCTTAAAAGAATATGTATTAAAATTTTATTTAAATTTCTCATTTTAAGTTTTCTAAGAATATTTGAGCAATCTGCCAGTTGCTGCACGCAGCAGTTTCGCGCGCTTGTTCTATATGCCTTCCCAATAGTCACTGTAATGAATCGTTCAGCAATATACAAATATATAATTTTTTAACCAAACGTCAGTAAACAATAAATACTCCGCTCGACTATCAGTGACTGAACGGCTGGGGGCCGCAAGGAAGGCAGAACACAGCTTGTCAGACTCTAAAAAACATTTAGATATTTTGCTGCGCTCACACTCGCGTGTATATTTTGATACGCTCGTGTTCGCTTGCCTTGCTGAGCGCACTCAGTTATATTTTCTTAATTTATTTATGTAAATTTTGTAGTTGCTTTATTGTTTGTACGTACTTTGTTGTGACCGCCGCTCCGCTCGGAAACTATCTTACAGCACTTCTTTTCACAGCTTTGCTACTCGCCGCTTATTTGCTTCAATACAAAACGCTCGCATTCTATTTTCAACAGACACACTTTTGAAAGCATTCGCTCCGCTTGGCCCTATTCTCGATGTGTAAAATACACACTGTTTGTAAACTCAACACTCCGCCGCCCTTGGCTTATTTTTTATTTATATTTTTATTTTCAGTTGCAGCGCCAGCTTTTTTGGCGTCTTTCGTAATTTGTTTAATTTATGCGACAGCCCACACATACACGTGCAATTTTGTTTTTGTTATTATTTCGAACACATTAATTCTTTCAACACACGAATAACTACTTCTTGTTTCTTCAAAAGCGCCCAATGTTTATCGCGTGTCTGTTCGCGAGCACCGAACGTCAAACAAAAATTAATTTAATAGAAATAAAGCAGCACAAATTTATTTATTTTATATTTTATAATTTTTTCTTTCCTTGCTTTGTGCTTTTCGCATGCAGCACCAGCGTGCACTGAGCGATTAGGCAGACTGAAGACTCGGCCCTTCTTTGTGGTCGCGCAGCAACGTTGTTTTTTTCTATAATTATTAATTTTGTTTGCAAATAAAAGCAAAAGTGGCTGACAGAGCGTCCACCTAAGTTCACAGCTAAACTGTGTACGGCTCAGCTGGTGCGTTGTGCTGCCGACGCCGTTTGTCTGTGCTCGCTTGCTGGTTCGTTGCCTCCCAGCTTAAATTGGCGGATGTGAATTGTGTGAATGATGTGTATCTCTTGTTGGTTGGTCTCTTTGGCTTTGCGGTCGTGCGACTGGCGGTGGGTGGCTTGAGCGGTGAGCGCACTAAGCGCATACATGCAAGTGCTTGTGTAGATGTGAGCACGCGCTGAGAGAATGTCGTCGTTAGCGATCAGCGACTGTGAGCGCTCCACCGAAGAAACGATTTGGCGAGACGCGCGCTATCAATCGTCGCAGCGTTAACCCAAATCTACCGTTTTTACTCGCTTATGCCTAGGCACACACCACATTTACATTTATAAGCTGTATTTTAATACAACACCGACGCGCAAAATCCGTTGTTGCTACCGTTCTGCAGCGCCAACAAATAAGAACTGACTCGTGTGCTGCCGCGAAATCATATAAAATAATCGGTGCTGCTTGAGAAGCGCGGAGAATAGCAGCAGCTGCTGCAAATCTGTAGGTGTGCGCGTGTGTGTGCGAGAGTGCGATGTGTGTTGATGCAAATGTTGCTAAACATTTCGCTTTGTATTTAAATGATTTTCTGTATACATTTCAATTGATTTCCTTCGCCAGAGTTGATATCATTTCATTTGCGCTTGTGTGTGTGTGTGTATAAGTAAATTTTATTAGCAATTCAAATTTTCTTGCCGCTGCAATATTTTGCCATTAGCTAAGGTATCTTCAAGGAGAATAAGATTAGTTGAGTGATAAATCTTCCGCCATTTGATGTTCAGAAATAGTTCTATTTGCTAGACATATTTGGTGAAAGTTTTGTTATACTTTTTCGACTCACGATTGCGTGCCCTAAATTGCGTTACTATAGGATATCTGCTTTTAGCCGACCGTTGTCTCTTATATTGGAAATATACTTTGGTAATAGTCGTGTGGTAGCGTTGGCGCCAAGTTATTTGTATATACCGGTTTTACCATCCGTTTTAACTAATAATTGAAATATGATATTGCGATAAATTTTTTAAATTAGGAGGCACGCTTTCCACAAAAAAATACATTAGCAAACTTTTCCAAACCTCTTCCGTTCGATATTCATAGCATGTGTTAGTGTTTTATCATCTTAGTTTCTCTCAAAAATTTAATTTGATAATCTATTTCAAAGTCAAAAGTGTATTAAAATAATATATAAACGTGTCAAGCCTTTACGAATATATTTTCAACCGTCAGTCTACTCAAACCTCTTTGTTACCCAAACTTTGAAATATTGCTTAGCTTACCTTTTAATTAAATAAAAAATTAAATATGCTGGCAACGCTTATAAAAGCTATTTTTAAATGTAAGCTTGCTTTAGTTTTTTACCTTTATTATGATATGTATGTATGTTATCAGTTGAAATTAACAACTTTTTTAAACTTACGGCAACCTTCCCCACACTGTGTTTTTCCGTTACAAATGTGTGTAACTCGTCAGCTATGAACTTGCATTTAAAAATCAGTCCAACAATGTTATTTACTGCGGAACATGCTTTTCCGAATGACATAAAAAATTAAAAGTAACACTTTTAAAATTACTATTTTGACTAAAATGTTTGAAGAGAAAATTCCAAACTCGCCGAACAGTTTCGATTACTAAGTCCAAGGCTATTCGCAGCCTCCTGATATCATCTCACAAATATATAATAAGATCAAACATGCCCTTCGGATGTAAATCCGGCCTTAAAGGAACACAACCAAGACTATTTGAAAACGCGTTTTTGCTACCAAAAGAAGAAATAGTACTTTTAGTCGAAAAATACCCTTGAATGTTTGACAATAACTACTGAAGGTCGGTCGCTATTAAAAACACTTTCTGTAATTTATATATATTATAATAAATCTTATTATAATTATTCGGGAAAAGAAGAAATAATAAAACTCTCTCCCACATAGTTCGCAAGTGGTACTCCCGTTTTTTTGACATCTGATAAGTCTATTAGTTTTAATCCACAGTGCAATGACTTTTTTGTGAGCAAGTAAATTGCAGTGAACACATTACTCTCAAACTAAAAGAGTCTAAGTCATAATTTAAATTGAATAAACTGATTGCAAAATGTACGCAGTCATGCGTGTGAAGTCACAAGTGTCTCAAGAATTGAGCATATGTTTCTTTTAGCGAGTAAATTGCTTACAGCTGCGAACGCTGATTAGATATAGTGCGGTGCACGTGAAGCCGAGCAACCGCCTCCACAACTCAGCTGCTGGATCCTTCACTGGCCAATCGACAGAAGTCTGCACGACATGTGCTGCCGCTCGACGGAACTCGCTCTCGATGCTTTGCTACATTGCTTCATAATAAGCGTAAAACTGCGCTCAATAGGAACTTAATATTAGTTCCATTGCATATTTATCGTTTTTTTAGAGGAAATACATCGCTTCTTGGTTTTTGTTATTATTTTTAGGCATACTTTAGCATTCAAGCGAATAAATGCTAATTTATATACATATCTATATATTAAGCTGAATTCTTAACGGTAAATAATTAGGTGTGTGAAAATATGTCTAATAAACAAGATATATTGTTTCCACGATAGTGCTAGTCGGACTTTGAGTTAGAACTTTGCACTTTTCTATCCATTAGTTCTAAGCTAGTTTTAATAAGAGTCATTAAAGCGATTACGAAGTTCAGAACTGAGAGAAAAAAAATATTAACTTACATATACATACAGGGTGCACCATCTTATAATGTAAAAAAAAAAAGTTTGTAGTATTTGAGAGCTTTTTACTGAACTTGCCCGTTGTCTTTTTGTCATTAGTTATCCAGGCAGCTTTTGTTCAAGGAGCTAAATAGGTTGAATAATAATTTGACATCATTTTGGTGAAATCTTGAACTGTTAAGACCTTTTTTACTTCTTCGCAGACATAAGCTAAAGTCTTCGTATGACATTGGCGGCTGAAAGTTTCTGTAAATTTTAAGTGCAATTGTACTCAGCTTCATAAGCGATTAGCACATAGCTTTTGATCAACACTATTCTGCACGCTATTAATTAGAGAGATTTATTTGGAGAGTAAAAATTATTGTGTAATTAAATTCCTGCCACTAGAGGTATTTCTTAATAAATGCTTGCTATGTTCTGAATACATAATACTAGTATTTATGGCTATGCCAAAATGTGAGTAAGCACACATACATACATACACGAATGTGCAAAATACTATATTTTCCTCTAATATTTCCCGCTTTTTCACACACGCGTATTTCCGATTTGTTTATTTATTTACATTCAGAAAATCACTATTGAACAGCTTGAAAAACAAAACAACCGATTCGACTCATTGACTGCAGACCATCTGTGTCTGCTTTCGCAAAACTAGAAGCAGCAACCAGCAAGTAGATTATTAAATTACATGCTGCTCGTGCTTTAAGAAAGACCAGTGCATGTGCACTCAGCGACTGACTAGCGTGTGCCGCTGCAGCACTAGAGAGCGCGCGCTGGCGGCCTTATCTTGGCGTTGTGGAGACTTTTCATATGGAAAGAGGGCAAATAGACTGTATTTTCTAATTGTTTTGCTATTTTTGCATAGTTTCATCATTCTAACTAATATTTAAATCTCTGTTTTACTTATTTAGTCATAAACTGCATGTGAAATCATTCTAATATATAGATGTATTTCTAATCTTTTGCTAAGCCGCCACACTTGAAGAAGAAGAACAAGACTTGAAGTTCTGTAAAACAACAAACTTTTACGTTTATATTTGACATACGAGTATATCGTTCAAGGGCTAGAAGATATATAGTATGCTAATACATTAAGGCTTACCATTCTCAATATGATGGAATATGACAAAAATGACACATGACACAGGTTGTCATACGCTACGCCATAATCGAAATAATAGAAAGAGACAGAGAGATATAAAATCTGTGAAACTTTCTGAGAAATATTTCTTTTTTCGGTTATGATGTCACGACTGTCACAATAAAAGTAACGGACGGGGATCGTAATCGCTATTTCCATCATTTAATGATTCCGACAGTTTTTTTTCCGTTACATCTTTGCAACGTGTTTTACACTTGTACCTCACGTCATGTTTGTGAGATGTAAAATACTTTTACATAATTATAATGAAAGTGTGATAGTTTTACTATACACTTTGTCGCATTTATTTGTTCATGACTTAGCGCGTCGCAATCTTTGCAATATATCATTCTGAAACATTCTATTCTCAGTTTATTGGTTATTAAAGTATTGAAAGACCACGAATTTGATCTGCTTTGACGAAGTTAAGATTCATTATTCTCTTTAAAATGGTTTGTTAAAGCTTATGGAGCATATTGTATAGCAAAATTTTTTATTGGAATGTGGAAGGTCGGGTTGTTGTTGCTGCGGTTTCGCGCTGAGAGAACGAGATAAAAAATCCCGGTTACATAGTTTCTTCGGCTATCACGAAGCATTTCGTTAATGTAATCTTATAGCGTTTTCTTTTCGCGATGAAAATGTGGCCTCAATGTTATGGTATATAAATGTTACATTTTTTACATGACACAAGAACAAAAAAATGCCAACCAACTCATTTGCAATATTTATTATTAAGCTTAATGAAATCTGATCGATTCATTATGATTAGTAGAAAAACTTGATTAAAAAAAAATAACTGCCAAAAATGAAAAATAAATAAATATCTGCTGGAAAACTCGCAGCCTTACGTTTTGAGAAGGGCAGCAAATGTTGCACTTTTTTCAGGCTAGAAGGCAACATTCTGAGGAAAGAACACGAAACTTTGTCAGCTCGGGCATAGGGCAGAATAAATGCAAAATTTTTGTGACGCTTTTAATTTAAATTCGCAAAAAATTAAATTACTCAATATGTTAACAGCCCTATAACTCGAAAACCATAGTTTTTCCATTCCCTTACTTTAAATATACATTATTAAAAATAATTTTCCCCAATTATTTAAAAAAAAGTGATTTATTATAAGCATTAAAGTAAAGTAAAGTATTTGATTGGGAGTAAAGTTCACCTGGCAAATAGAAACTTACATACTACATATAGACACACACGCGAGCTACTCAATATTTAGGTGCATCAGCAAACCAAACCAATTACTCGTTAAACTATAGTGAGAGTATTTGAAAATTATTGCTGATTATACGCATACATACTTACATATATAAATCAATAATAATGATATCATATTGTACTGAGCTCATCCATATGTATATTTATGGTTGCATGCATATAATAAGGCTCATTCATGGATGAAAAAGCGGGGCTTAATTATAAAATATTTTTATTATATGTAAAGGAATTTTGAGAGTTTAAAGCGCAAAGAAAAGCTAAAAAACCGTTATTATGATTTTAACAGAGCTCAAAAGGCAACTAATAACCAAACTGCGTAACTCTGAACAAATTTAGGTTCAAGAAAAATGCAGCCTTATCAGC